GGAACACAATGATACCATTTTTTAAGCTCTAGCGTCATTATGTGCCAAGTTATTGGCAAAAACGTCATTTGACCTCAGTTGACCTCATTTGACCTGACCCATGGATAAGTACACCAACCAAAGAAGCACCAAGTGACCTGCTGTTAAGTACTGTGGGTTCAAAGCACAAAAGTGATAGAACGAAGCGGATATCTCCAGTATTTTCCGAATTTAGTATTTTCTCATAGGCTTAACATTACGACGTAATGACCTCTAACTGACCTCAGGTCAGTGACCTCAAAAAACCCGAACTATATGTTATACAACTCGGTGAACTTGGCACATCCTGAAAGTTTGAAGGAAATCAGTCCAAAACTGTGAGTTGGACAGGTGCAAAAAGAAAATTGAAATTTGACCATGACCTTGTACCGGTTTTTCTGACCTGGTGACCTGACTCAAGGTCACCCGGAGCTGAAATTTTCAGGTCATATGTAAAAAGGTTGCCCCATAGGCTGTGCCAAATTTGGCGGCGCTGCACGCCGCCGTTTTTTTACGCTATCTTCAAAAAACCTTAGGGGGGGGGGTCGCATCGACCCCCCCCCCCTGCCAGGGCGAGGGTTAAACCTTAAATTTGGGTATGATTTTCTGAGTCTCATAAAGACAACCAAGCTCGTTTTTCCGCGAAGCTGTAGCTCAATAATCGGCAAAACGGCGAGGGCCGAGGTCGGTTTCATGTAGCACACTGATTGGTCTGGCAAGGGTGGGAACAAAGTTTCAATGCGTTACAAATCTTTTTTAAATACAGGTATGAAGGGCATTTTGGCATGTAAGCTTGCATGGGAAAATGGCACATTGATTACTTGGGAGTTACAAATACATTAAGTACTTGGGAGGGACTTTCCCAATCTGCATGAAAGCATCATCTCTTAAACAAAACAGGCCAACGAGGCAGTTAAGTCACTGATCACTTTGGTGTTTTTATGAACCAAGGTCTAGCTTCAAAGAAGTTTCACATGATTTATTGATAGCTCTTATTCATTTAGATGGAAAAGAAAGCAATGCTGATAATCAAAGTCAATGTGGTGAGTCAATAATGGTCAATGGTCAAGTAAGCGGCTGTGGACCTACAGGTCTGCTAAGCAAGGCATGCTGTAAAAGTAATTACAGATTAGGCACTTAGCCTAGCCAGAGCTCAGTCAGGTCAGTGGTGTACTGGCAAATCCTGTTAAAATTAGTTGAACAGGAGCATTTAAGCAAATGGAATGATAAGTAGCAGACCAACAACTCCATTTGCCCATTGTGTGCAATGTGCATGGCATCTAGTTAACAGTTGCCTTATGCCTATAAGTTCCACATTTTTACTGCTTTCAGTTAGGTAAGCAGACCAAATTCACAGTGCTTTCCATCCTCAAGCATTTTAACCTAATACTACATTAAAAAATACATGCCCATCACCTTATTTATTTATGCATAAGGAGGATAAATGGCTACTACAATTTATCATATATAACTCATTAGAATAAAGATACCTAGGTTGGGTAGAATTAATTCCACTGAATTTGGTTACATCTAAACAAACAAAGTTGTTTTCCCAGAAATTAAATAGACATGTAACTGAATACTCATACAAGCAGTAACTAGTAAGGCTTTACTCTAGCTGTCAAGAGTTATGGAATAGGGGCAAGTAAACAAAGGTAGTTAAATAACACAATATCAATGTAAACAAATTTAACACAACACAGCTAGGTAGATTACAGGAAAATCAAGAGACCATAGCTGTAGCATAAACAAAGGGCATCAGCATTGTACTGCAAAACATGGCAACAGATTAAATATAACAAACCATAGTACACAACTGACAACACACAAACCAGGTTGGGATTTCCCACAAGCCATCCTGATCAGAACATAAGATTTCTCTAACAGAATTCAGAATTTGCACTTATAAAACTACACCAATTGGCTAATTGTTCCATCAATGAACCTTATGTATTATGTGCAAATTTGGGTACCGTAAAGTGGGGTGTTAAGGGACAGTGGGGTGATAAGGGACAGTTGCGTGGGAAAAACTTTGAGTCATGCTAAGTTCCTAATTTGAGAAGGTTAAATAAAAACTTGAGTGTGGTAGTTGACACTATTTTGTTCTTGATTATGGGACAAGATGGCATGGTTTTTCATGCAAGCGATTTGGTTCAAAAATGGTTTTGAAAATCATGCTACATTTTCACAAAAATGAGACATCTCCAAAACTCTGTGTGTACCACATAAACTAGTAGGTGTACAGGTGAAATGAATGCATAGGTGTATTGTCACATGTATTGCACATGTTTCCTGAAAAACTTATACAAATCCACCCATCCATTCATCATCCTCTTCCTCTTTTCTGGACACATGCATATTTTGAAGTGGATGTGGGGTGCTAAGGGACAGGGAAGAAAAAATAAGAAATAATAGCTAAATACAATTTCATTAAGTTTTCTTTCAGTAGGCATTGAAAACACCAAATTCCACATAAAATGCTGGCAAGTTCATGCTTTCATCTCTAACACATCTTAAGTTATATAACAAAACACCTCAAAATTCCCTTAACACTCTCTTTAACAATGATGGGTCAATGAAGACTGATGTAGGTAAATGTGATGTCATCATAAAAAGGCCAAAACAAACAGGGCAACATAATGACAAGTGACTAGCTTCAAAATGGGTTTTTGTTGATGACAGAAAGGTACTTTTTGGTTCTGTTTACCTTATAATTAGCACATTTTCCAGAAGCGTAAACTGCATTACATGTAATTGGCTAAAAAGGCCATTAGTGGTGAATGAACCTGACTTGTTTTGTGACAGAATATGCAAAACATTTCAATAAATAAATTGAGTGCCCTTTCACATGCCAATTGTGAGCATTTGATGACCATTTCCTGGAATAATATAGGTGTCCCTTAACACCCCACATTGGGGTGCTAAGGGACAGTGATGAAAAATAATAAAAAGTAATATGCATGTATATATTTTTAAAACTTTAATGTAGCAGGCATGTAAAGCACCAAATTCCACATAAAATGCTGACAAGTTGATGCTTCTATCCCCAACCCTTCTTGAGTTGTATAACAAAACACCTCAAAACTGTCCCTTAACACCCCATTTTACGGTAGTCATGAAATGAAGCGAGTGTCACACCTTCATTTTTACAAACCAAGGAGAGGTGCTATAACCAGAGATGTAGGTTGCAGGTTTGTAGGTTTAGGTTGTAGGTTAGGTCAGGTAAGATTAGGCCAATTTAGGTTAGGTTAGTTTTAGTTAGGTTAGAAAAAGGCATCTGTGGGCAGGGCTGCGGAGTCGATGGATTTACGGCAACTCCGACTCCGACTCCGACTCCGGCTTTCAAAAACCAACTCCGACTCCGAATCCGACTCCAGGCAGAAATGTCGACTCCGATCAACTCCAACTCCCGACTCCGACTCCGCACACCTGGCAGGGCTGCGGAGTCGACAGATTTTCGGTGACTCCGACTCCGACTCCGGCTGGGTTTTCCAATATCGACTCCGACTCCGACTCCGACTCCGGTCACAACTGTCGACTCCGACCGACTCCGACTCCGACTCCGACTCCGACTCCGCAGCCCTGTCTGTGGGTATAGTGCTTCTCTTTGGTTGCAAAAACAAGTGTGATACCTGTTTTAAGCCCATATTGGTTCAAGAAATTAGGTAGGTGGGTAGTAGTTTTGCCAGGAAAGCATTTCAGAAAAAAACAACACATGAGACTGCGACCCTGCAGTCAGCAACCATCCCCAAAAAACAAAGCAAAAAAAGGTAATCCCTTCCACACCACCCAACAGCTGAAACCCTCGCATCAACTAGCTCCTGACGATTTAAGCATACTTTGCAGTTTGCGGTCTAGGTAAGGTGCAGACTGCAGTGTGACTGAACGCCTGATTGTCATGACCACAGACCAATACTTGAACTTACAATGAAAGGTGTCTATCCTCCACTTAAAAGCAAAGATGAATATGTATATAGAAGTATCAAATATTCAACATTATTATGGCAGCTAAACGCGCAAATCTATGATCAATGGACACCGCCTTTTTAATTAATGAGAAATTCCAAATCCGCCCACACACCACCCGTCGGAGCATTTGTATAAGATTTGAGTCTTGAAGCGCCATAAATGTAGAAGCCTTCTAGAGCTGGTTTCTCTAAACGGCCTTGAAGTGGATAGATAAAGAACGGATAAAAAACAGCTAGGCAAGAACACTGCGAATGCTGTTTCGAATAAATATAGATATTAGAGCATTTTGAACCTAAAATAAAGCTCAATAAGAAGAGTTCAGAAATTGCAAAATATTTATGACGTAGGCAAAAGGGAGCTTGGAAGGATCAAAGTCGCTGTTTCAATGAATTAGTTTCATTAATCACAGATATAAGGTTTGAAAGGACATACAAATGCCATCTTTAAAAGAATCTGTACCGAAAGATGCCACGAACCTCATGAAAATATTTCGATTATTTTAAGATTTTATGGCATCAGTAGGCTAGAGTTGCAAATTCATATGAATATGAACAAGGTTCCTCTAATATAATAATATCAAGTATAATGCGTTGCTTGCCAATGAACAGAAAATATGACGTATACTTAAATTTTCTTTTCTTTTTTTCTTATTCTTCTGCAAGATCTGACAAAAATTATACAAATGTTTCTATTTTATTATGTAGGTTACGTTTAAAAAATCATAATATTATACTTTTATATACGTTTTATTGAAATGATGCAAGAATAGTAAAGCGCTTGTAAGTGCGAGACCCAGCGTGTAAATAGAAGTTGCGTGATTGCCGTGATTGTGTGGCGAGGGGAGGCTGTAGATTGGGACGACGGTGAAAACAGGGCGCCTGGGGCGATTTGATCAAGGTTCGTGAAATTTACACGTGACGTTTGGCATGTAGAAGGCCCACAAAGGGGGAGAAGTTCCAAATGTCACGTGACTAATATGCCCTCCGGCGCCCTGTTTTCACCGGCGTCCGTAGATTGTTGGGTTATGATAAATTAGATAAGATAATAGGTTATAATTAGTCAACTGTCGACTGAAATGAGCAAAAATGCGTGAATGGAGCGTGGGTATCTTTTGCTCGTGGAACATGCCGGTCTTCACCACGACATAATAGCATTCAATTCAAACAGCTATCAGTACCTTTAAGGTCAAGGTCGCCGACCTGTGTGAGGTCATTCTTTTTTTCAAGTTGGTGACTTAAGCGTCTTTTCTGCTCAATTACAGGCAAGTAAGCATCACAACGAATTCTAGATCCTTTGCTATTGCTCAGAAATTTTGTGAAAATGATAATTTTGTCTGTTTTATGTCTTATATTTTCTGGTGCTTATGCTTTTGTCAAGTGCGGAAGAGATTATAATGAAATGTGTGGAAATATGAAAGGGTACTTGGCCTGAAGGGTGCAGTGCAGTGCCCATCATGCTCACTGTAATTTAATTCTGTCTGGTAAGTGGTAGCCTTTGGCCATAGCAACCATCCCTGACTGTCTGAGGCCTGGGCTGCAAAGTTACCACTTTGGCACACTCTATAAGTGATACAAATGAAGGTGGTCTGTTGACCTCTTCTGAGTGGAAGGGTTTGCGTAGCTGATAACCATCTTTGTGGCTATCAGTGAAATGTGATCCTTGTTTTCTGTTACAGATGGAAAATCAACAGTACTGCCTCAAGTGGAACAACTTCTCCCAGCACCTGAAGTATGCCTTCAACACCATCTGGAGCAATGACGACTCCTTCACAGATGTCACCCTGGCCATCCAGGGTGGCTTCAAGATGCGGGGCCATAAAATGGTCCTTTCTGCATGCTCCTACTACTTCAAGAAGCTGCTGGTGGTAAGCTTGTTTGCCTGGTTGGATACCTGATAACCATACTGCAATGTGTGGCTTGCAGGTTGATGAGGCTCACCTACCCAAGATCAAAATCTGCACCAATCCTTCAGAGCCGGAAAATCTGCACCACAGCGGGCTGAGAGTCTAAAAAGTTCACACTAAACCCAAAAATGACCAAGCTGAGCCCACACTGACCTCATTTCCCACACTGACCTCATTTGATGAAAGTAGCCACAAGCCTGCCATCTCCATAGTATGGAAATGAGAAATATGCACCACGTGACTCAAACAAAAAGCATATTACAGCAATACAAGAACACGCCTGTTCATGATTAGCATTAGCCTCTGACTTGGAAGCCAGGATCAGTAATTACATTGCATGCCAGTAGGTTTGTTGATAAGCCTCTGCCTGGGTCACAACAAGGGACAACCCGCGTGATTGATGGGACCACCTTTGACCTTAGCGCTGGGATAGTCTGTTTTGACTACTGCACACTCATTTAGACCCGAGAACACGCTGAATCACATGTGGAATCCCCAAAATTTTAAGAAAAATTTCCTTATCTATCTCGTTTGGTCTGTCATGTCCGTCACCAAGCCAAAACCACATTGCACCGCACCAAATCCGCACCAGCCGAACAAGCCAGCACCGACGAAATCTCGTCGAAATTGCCGTACTCTGCTGTAGACTGGCCTGGTAAGGCTCCCTTTTTCGGGTGTTGCCTTTGATAGGAAATATTGGGATGGGGTCCAAGGAAGTGAGGGCTGAGTATGTACCTAACCTAATGCCATGGGAGCAGGTCTCTATGGTCTTTTGGTGACATACAGCAAGAACGGGCTAGTGAGTGTAGGGTGAGGAGGGGGTATGGTTTGTATGTCTGGGGTGCTCACCGTAGTAGATGCTCACCGTAGTAGATAGGAAAGAGGCATAGGGAGCGGATGCTCATGGGATGCTGCCTCTTCTCAATGTCATATGACGGTCATATCTGTTTTTGAATGTGTTGATGTTTGGACTCAGTACCACATGTTCAGGCAGTTGGTTCCATTGGTCCACAACTCTTGAAGAGAAGATGTGTCTGTGCAGTCGATGTCTGGGCTTTTGCAGTCTGAGCGCATGTCCGCGTGTCCTTTCCCGGTTTGTGCTGGTCTCTAATTTCAAAAACTCTTCTCCAGCATTTACCTTGTCATGTCGATGGACCAGCTTGTAGACCTCGATCATGTCTCCCCGGCTCCTTCGATCTGCGAGTGATGTCAGTTTCAATTGGTCTAAACGGTCCTGGTATGGAAGATTGGCGAGTTCGGGTACAAGTTTTGTCGCTCTCCTTTGAATCCTCTCCAGCCTGTTGACATACTTCTGAAGAAACGGGGACCAAGCTTGAATGGCATATTCCATGTGAGGGCGTATCAGAGTCTTGACACGAAGTAAAACATTGAATATTGAATATTGAATATCGGAGACACGACAGTAAAACAGTCGTGTCTTGGCATAGTGTGATGGACGAATATTCACATACGAAAATGTGCGTTGACAAAGGTTGACATGGACGAATATATGCTCTTATGCGTAGACTTTGTAGAGACGAAAGGAGTGCGAATGAATAAAATATGCAGAGACAAATTAGATTAGTGTGACGAGGGTTGGCAATGGAATTGATGAAGCATAGATGTTGTCTGATTCAGTTCTACCGTGCTATTCCCACTCTACTGTCCTTAATTCCCACTGTCCATTGACCATATGAATTCCCAAAGTGACTCTGATTCCCCATTCCGTCTTTTCCACACAGCCAGCACATTTTTATCTTAATCTGTTCAAGTTATAATTACTCATATTGGAGAGCCATGTCTAAACCGTCCAACCTCTGACCATCCATCACTGTCTGTCTGTGTCAGGCGGACACCTCCGAGTCCCCGGTGCTGATCCTGCACGACGTTTCACGGGCCGAGCTGGAGGCCCTGGTGCACTTCATGTACCACGGCGAGGTGAACGTGACGCAGGAGGTGATACCGGGCCTGCTGAAGGCGGCCGAGATGCTGCAGATCCGCGGACTGTGCGCCGCGCCCCCGCCCAGCGCCAACAAGGTGAGGCACTGCCACGGAGGGGCGGGCGTCCGCCAACACGGGTGGCCCGACTCTTTGTGGGACTACACGACAGTCGGTAAGCGGTGACCTCATGCGTGATGCAATAACTTTCGGAAATGATTTAAATTTTAATACAATTTTTAATTAGCTTGGTATGCCGTTCGTTATGTGCCTTGCTCGTCTCTGACTGCATCCTCTCCCCTCCTCAGCAGTCGTCCGCCAGCACGACCAGCACGCCGACCAGCACGGCCAGCCGGCCACTGAAGCGGATCGCCCCTGCGCCGCCCGCCTCCGAGCCGCCGACGGCCTCCCCGGCCGCCAAAAAGGCGCGCAAGAAGGCGCCACCATCCGCGCCCCCTCCCCTGGCACCGGCTCCGGCGGACGGCCGGGGCCGCAGCAGCGTGGAGAGCGAGGAGTCACGAGACACCAACGGCGTCGGAGGTACGGGTCGGAGAATTTGAGAACTGGAGAAGCCGGTTGGGGCGGGAAGTGACTTGGGTGATGCTAAGGGTGGTTCGTGGGGAGCATTGAGAAGCGAACGCAAAGTGTAGGCGGGCCAACATTGTCCGCAGTTGTCGGTGCTCGTGTCGATGTATCGTGTTCTATTTGTGTGTGTTGTGCCTGTTGTGCTGACGTGTCCGCTGAAAGTTTTTGTGATTTGTTTCCCATTGTCTGTGTGCTGTGTCCGCCACTGAGGGACGCTGTTCTGTGGTTTGTGTGGCCGGCAGGCGGCAGCGACACCGAGGGCGACGGTCAGCTGAGGATTGACGAGGAGTCCAACGGCCTGGAGCCGGAGACGCTGCTGGATGAACAGGTGGGCGCCGTACGATGGGAGACGGGGCTGGGCAGAAAAGGGACGTGTAAGGGTCGGCCTAGACCTCTAGTTAATTTGCTTAACATTCAACAATAAGTAAATACAGTTGGATTCCGATAGTACATACATAAGGCTGGGAAGTCAAAGTGTTAAGTGGCTGGACTGTATAATCCGTAATACGAAGCTTGGTTCGGGCTGTACGACTGCAGCCGCTGGCGCTGTCTTCAGTCGGCGGTGGTGGGCTGGCCAGGCCGCTCGGTGACATCCCTACCCCCTGGTGACATCCGCAGGAGGCCGAGGGCGACGGCTGGTCGCAGGGCAGCGGCGCCACCGAGGACCAGCTGCTGTACCCGCTGCCGCGGCCCGAGCCGGACGCTGACGCGGCGCCCAGTCCCGAGGGCTTCACATTCTCATCGCAGCTCAGAAACCTCGCCGTCAAAGTCAAACTAGGTGAGTCGGCGTCGAGGGAGGCATACACAATTTTCGTCGGGAGACGACTCGCGAGAATCCCAACAACTTGTGACAACTTGTGTCATAATCTATTGTTAAGCTAACAAATCTGGATCGCAAGCGTTTGGCTCGTGTGCGTTATATCATTTGTTTCATCTTTTCAGTGTGATAACTTTCATTGACATAATGCTTTATTTTCCTTATTCACAGAGCCGAGGGTGCCCAATGATCTGGAGGCGGCAATAGTATCGTCAATGCCAAAGAACGGTAAGTCACATACTCAGGACTGTGGCTCGTACTTGTTGTCAGCCTAGGGCTCAGGACTGTGGCTGAGTGGATCTGATTTCGATAATGGGTGCACTAGCGGCATCTAATAGCACTGAATTACCACACGAGACTCTCCAAATTTCCTAAACGACGAAAGACTGAAGGAATGCTGCTATTAGAGGAAGTTCAGTGCCCACTTGCTGGAATATGACTTCACTAATACATCAACAGTCATTGGACCAACGAAAAGCGCACCGGTCGCGGCCATGTCGGCCGGTTATAGTCAGCGGTGATGTTGATATCGCTGCCACTGAGGGCTTGATATATCGCGAGAACGCGATTCATTGTGCGCTTTTCGTTGGTGCAGATGGGCGACCCTCATTGTTGACACTTCCTAAAACCCTGCTAAATAAACAAACAAATCGTTGGTGCCGACTGCGGAGTGAATGCACGTGGTACCGCGCATCCATGAAGGAAATATCCCAATCTTTCAGTAAAAACAAGCTTCAATAACAGGCAGAGGATCTTCTTGTAGATGAAGTCTGGAAGATAATCATTATATATTAACTGTATTCCATGATGATATTGACTGTATATAAGGTTTATAACGTTATATAATCCAATTTAATCTTTTATCCTGTTATGCAGTCATTGTCAGTGGCATTCCTCGAATTGCCGAAGGAAAACCCAGAAACTGGCTGAGTAATGCTTGCTCGAGACCCTATTCCTTGTTATGTCATTTTTAATTCCTTGGCTTTGCTGAGCTAAATGTAGGTGATTTTAGAATGCCTGGCGGCGGCGGGTAGCTGGGGACGTAGGAGGCGGCTATTGTGATTGTATTGCTCATTGCTAGCTGCTCGGTCGTGTGGCTAATCATCTGGTGAGAAGAAGATAAATGTTGCGTCACTAGTCGCTATATACAGGAATGCAGTATCTCACGCGCGAGATGACCCATTGACATCGCATCGGTCCTGTCCTCATCTCAGTCCTGCCAACGTCATCCTATTCCGCCAAAGTCGCCTCCGTCCTGCTGGCATCAGTGTGCTGCTGGTAACGTCGCCATCGGCAACCTGCTGACGTTTCCTGGGCCTGCTGACGTTATTCAGTCCTGCTGAATTCGCCTCAGTTCAGCTGACATGCCGATCCATTTAACGCACCGTCATTGCTGTTGACATTTCGCCCATACTGCAACCAACGCCACAGCTCCAGTCCTGCCAATGCCACTTCAATCCTGCCAGCGCCACTTCAGCCCTGCAGATGTCGCCTCAGCTCTGCACTTATTGGTCCTACCTACATCACTTCAATCCTTACAACTTTGCCACGATCCTCCTGACATCACTTTAGCCCTGCCGACGCCGCATGAGTCCTGCTGACTTCTTCTAAGTCCTGCCAACGCTACTTCAATCTGGCCAAGACTACTTTAATCCTGCTGACATCGCCTCAGTCCTGCTGACATCGCTTCAATCCTGCCAGCACTACTTCAAGCCTGCTGGCATCGTTTCCGTCCTACCATCACTTGAGTCCTGCGGACGCCACCTTAGTCCTGCCTGGTGAAGTGATCCGGAGCCCGGTATCCCGTCCGGTCCCGGCTGGTTCTGCGACGCGCTGAGGCCGCGCGCTGCCGCTGCCGACAGATGGCGCCGGCCGCGGCGATGTCGATGACGGCGGCGGCGGCGGCGGCGCGGGCGAAGTCGAGGCCATGCTGGAAGAGCAGCGTCTGCTGGCGTTCCACGAGCCGCGTCCGTGTCCGCACTGTCGCCGCATCTACCGGGACGCGGCCACCCTGCGCACCCACGTGGCCATCATGCACTCGGAAGGTGGGTGCCTCCGTCACCGTCACCGTCTTTACCAAGCACCACCGTCACTGTCATCATCACCTTCAGTGCCACTGCCACAGTCTTCTTCGCTGTCACCAGAATGTCTATTACTTTTTGTCTTTATCTCCACCTCCGTCTCCGCCATCTTCGTCCCCAGCTTCTCCGCCGTCGCCATAGTTTCTGCGCAGCTTGTTAGAGACACATTAAGACGAGCGCTGGTGGTACTATTATTCGATTTTATCTTAGCTACGCGTCGACATTTTGTAGATGGTATGTTGTCCCCATAGCTTCAACTGGGACGATTTTCCCCGAGAGTGCTATTATTCTCCGAATTGGTCAAACGATTACATGGGTCAGCGATTGATCGGCCGGAGCCAGTACCCGCACTTCGCCATTAAAAATGTTAAGCTTGTTCAGCCCTGTCCACTAGTAAAATGCATAGACCGTTCATGCCGCCCGCCGCCTACGCACGTTCGGGCTTTCCCGATGTGGAATCCTTGTTCAATGCATTCACAATCGTGTCACCTTGAGCCTGTGTCAGCATACGACCCTTACCTTTGCCTGTTCGATGTTTGCACTGTCCATGCTCCTCCCTCTCTTTCTCGCCCTCCGTGCTTCCCTCCGGTTCTCAGCAGTCCCGCCCTCCTCCCCTCCCTGTGTCCTGACCTGTCTCCAGCCCGGCGCCGGCGCCGGTGCCGACCGCTGCCCGGGTACGTGCCTTTGGTGGTGCCCCGACCGGTGAAGCGGGCCTTCCCGCCGCTCCAGCGCCGTTCGCCAGCAGCTGGTGCCGGCCGCGCCGCACAAACCCGGCCCCGCGGCCGGCCGCCGAAACACCTGCGTACGTCTTTATGAAGAGCAATTGCGCTCGTGAAAACGCTAGCATTTCTTGATTCGTTCGTGATTCATTATCAAATATGCACGCATGAAGACGTGCAAAGGCTGCTTGATTATCGTAACGTTGTGTATATCCTTGAAACGGGCGCGAGTGTGTCATGCTGTTTCCTGTTCCGTGATGTTCCTATGTGTTACGGCGCTGTTCCGCGGTCCGTCCTACGGTGTGTTGCCATGCTCGGTGGTACCGGCTGGATGGTGTGCGCTATGCCTGGTCCTAATTGTAACGTACCCGGCCGACCGCTCTTCGTGGCAGCGCGGCCCGGGAACGCGGACCGACCGAGTGACGACGGCGGCTGCCGGCCGTCCACCGAGACCTGTCCTTGGCCCACCTCTGGTACCCCACTCGCCCGATCCTCATCCTGTCCGGCGCCCCCGCTAGGCGGCCACATCTCCCTCCCATCAGGCACCACAATCACTAGGTCCATCTCCTGCGCGGCGCCCCCGCTAGGCGTCCACAGCTCGCCATCTTCCTGCTCCACACTCACTCGGTCCACGGCGCCCATCACGGTGCCCCCGCCATGCACCTACACCCCACCCTCCTTCGGCAACACACACACCCGGCTCACCCCGGCGCCCCTGTCAGACGCCCACACCCCGCTCTATTCCGATACCTCATTCACTTGGTCCACCCTGACACCCCGTCTGGCGCCTCCACTAGGCAATCAACTCTGTCCCGACGCTCAGTCCTCCAACTGCAACGCGCTGTTTGGCGTTCTTCTAGGTCCCTGGCCTGTACTTATCGCTGATACGACACTCACTTGGTGTACTCTGAGGCCACGTGCAGCATCGCCAGGGATCCGGCTTCCGCCCGCCTCCGACTCTGCACTCCCGCAGGCCCCTCCAACCTTTCCGGCCTCGCCGACACCCTGCACATCGCCCCCACCAGACGCTCGAACCCAGCCTACTGCTGGCTCTGCAAAGGCACTCTCTTTGTCCTCCCGGGCGCCCTGTGCGGCAGCGCCGTTTGAGGCCTCCCTTCTATCCATCCCTGTCTCACTGCCCACTTTGTCTGTCCCGGAGCTCTATGTGAAGGCGCCGTCAGGGGTCCTCTGTATCACGAAACAGACTCAGCCCACCCCTGCGCATTGTCCGATGGTCTCGTCAGGGGCCCGTCCTCCATCCAACTCTGTCACAGCACGCTCTGTGTCCGTCCCGGCGGCCTGTCCGATGGTTTCACCAGGGGCTCACTTCGTAATCACTTCTGTCGCGCCACATACTCAGTCCACCTCGACACACCGTACGGCGCTCTCGCGAGGGACCCGCCAGCCATCCACCTGCGCCACGACACAGACTCGGTCCACCCCGGCGCCCCATGCGGTGCTCCCGTCAAAGAACCATGCCTTATTCACTCCCACCTCGCCACAAACTCTGCACTCCCCGGTGCGCTGTGCAGTGTTTACGCTGGGAACCCACCCTCAATCCACCTGTACCTCAACTCCAACCCGATCCACTCTCTCTTCCTGTACGTCGATCTCGCCGAGACCCTCCGTAAGGCGCCATCGGCGGCGCGCGACCGCCGAGCGTCCGCGCGTGCTTGTGCTCCTGAGCAGCAACGTGCGGCTGCGTGTCACTCCTGCTCCTGCTCCTGGCGCCCGGCGGGCTGCCATGGTGCCGCCGTCGCCTCCTGCTCCTCACAGCGGACCGCAGGTGAGTTGTCCGTGGCGGTCAGGATCTGATCTGACACACCCATTCCCAGAGTGGTAGGCAGTGTTATATATAACACGATGTGACCTCGTTGATCCCCGTGGAGGCTGTGCCAGAAGCCAAATATCCTTTATAATTTGTCTCCAGTCGCGAATGGCAGATTAACCATGCGTTCGATGTCTCTCGGACGACAAAGATTCTACGCCGCTCGGCCAATCACGGTTCATAACCGCAGCCGAGCCCCCGCTGACCTAGAACGGGATTGGCCGGACGACGTAGAATCTTCGTCGTCCAAGAGACATCGAACGCAAGGTAAGGCTACCCGATCGATACCTAGCCGACCTTACACACGTTCCTCAGTTCTGCTGTGTGTCTCGGATACTAATGCGTATCGAGAGATACTTAGAACGTCGGCTCTTCATAGTGTGCTCTTCCTAGACGCGAATTCTGCCTCTGTCGTTACTCGCCGTGTCACGTGTTTGACGACGTTCCTCCGTTTCAGTTGTGGACCCCCTCTCGTGCGGCTGCGGCGCTACATTCCGCACCAAACACGAAATGTATGTGCACAAGAAAAACGGCCACCAGAACAGCTAAGTGCCGCCGCTGTGGGAAGCTCGCCAGGGTGACACTGAGCGGCGTGCGGGCCTGCGGGGCTGAGTGCCCCGGACGGCCGGTCTTCCCGGGACCGATCTTGGTGCCCGGCTCTGAACGAACTCTGGTGTCCAGCCCTTGACACACTCTAGTGGCTGGAGGTACTCCGCGAATCCTCGGCGACGCAGTGACTGTGTGCGCGCGGCGAGTACCTTACGTGTGCTCCGGCGTCTCTGTGTTGGTGTGTGGGGGCAGCCGGGTGCTCCGGGCAGGGCAGACGGCCGCTCCGGTCCCGGCGCCGGGGGCTGCTCTGGAGCAGCTCGAACGCTAGCCCGCGAGGCGTCTAGCGTCGATATCGACTATCGGTACTACCCGTGCTGAACTATCGGTACGGCCAATACCGACTTGGATCTCCGCCTCCGCGGAAACATTCTTATGAAAGCGCGAGTGTGGGCGTATATGCGTGAGGCGTGCGTGTGTGTTGGTGCGTGTGCTTGTGTGTTTAGCTGGTAACTATACGTGCAGGCAGGATACATGTGTGCATTGGACGCAGCTGTCGGCGAGGAGGTGATGTGTCTCACGAAGCGCGGTGTTGGCTCGCTCAGACCCACGCGGTGGTACGTTTCGCTCAGCTCCAGCGCCGTGACGAGGTTCGCCGCCGCAGAACCACCGAATCCCGCGCCCCGCGATCGCGTAGTTCTTCGTTTCTCATTCATTGTCAATACAGCATCGAAACAAATCAGTGTCGAGTTTATCCGGGTTACGAGCCGTCCGTGCGTAGTGGCCAGGATAAAGTCCGACTTTTAGCCGCCTGTGTTATCCATCGTTGTTCGGCTGATGACCCCGCAAACAATGTAAGAGCATGCTGATTAGCATCCTTTTGCTAATGGTGCAGTGTTAGATGGGTGGTGTAAGTGATATGACTAGTCTTATCAAATGAGGGGCAAAGAAACTTCGATAGAATTATCGGCAGTGAATTGGGACCCTGTCATGCTATTACCTGTTCAATGCCATGATCCTGCGGCACAGCTGAGCTATCCAAACTTAAATCTTTTTTTTTTCAGTTTTCAAACCAAGTCTATGCTTTAGGACTTAGGAAGGTACTGCACATGAGATGTTTTGGTTTGAACGAACAATTTGCCTGTATGTGCAGCCCACCGCTAAAGTAATGTGTGGTTTTACCAATCTCAACGGATGGCTTTGACCGACGATTTTTAAATGCGGACTGATTGAAAAGAAGACGTCAATAGATAAACTTGTAGCTGCAAGGGTGAAGATACATGTAAGCTACATTTAAAGTCTCGTTACAGTCTGGCTAATCGTTCCTAGGCTTCAGAAGCAGAACATACCCATGACTGAAACCACACATTACTTCTGCTGTGGACTGTACATACCCGCTAATCCTGTTATTCATTTTGGAACGAACAGTCGCCTGTATATACTCGTAATCCGTGGTAGTCATTTTGGTTATTAGCGAAGTTGTATTGCATTTCGGTGATGTATCTAACTTTGTAAGACAGTTGCTCCAACAGAAAAGTTGGGGAGGTGTTGGACATGGCTAGCGCCACTTCTATTGACCGGCAGCCGTCATGGCTGTGGTGCAGGGTGCAGGTGGTTGGGCCATGGATGAAGTAGTACCACGGTGAAGTAGTAGATGAAGTAGTAAGTATGGATAGGTAGTAGGTAATCTATGGTTGGGCTAAGGCAAGCACGACTAAGCTGGGGTGTCTCACGAGCACATGTTGGTATGAGCACACATGAGAGTCTGAGACACGGGCATGAGTCACTGCTTGTAGCAAAAGGTTGCTCAATCGATTCGTAAGTAAAAGGCAGTTTTTTAAATCTGCGACTTTCCGACCTGTCGGCTGTCAGACTACGACTTGTATAAATCGGACCTGTCAAAGGTCCGATAGATCTATAGATGGCCTTGGTCAAAGGATGAGTAATGGTATTATCCATTGGAATCTTTATGAATCTCGTCATTATCCTTTGAAATAAGAATTTAGTGGCGGTGTGCTAATTTACGTCTAGACATCTACTGCGCACAAGTGTCAAAATATTGCATGTGGTGGTGTTGCTGCGCTGCGCATTATTTCTTTCGGTGGTGAAGCTTTGGCACGTGGTGCTGGTGGTCGCCGTGTTATTCTATGACGCTATGACCGTGGTGGAGTTCAGTTTCATCCGTTTCATCCGTGGTCATCTGTACGCATTCTCATTCACCACTCCATTGAATAAGCTATAAACTTGTATTCGTCTTGGATCATCATTCTGTGCCACCACTACCAGTAAGTTTGCTGTTCAGATTCTCTTTTAATTTCAGTAGGCGGAACTATGGTCAAGCGTACCCATTTTTGGGAACGCATTTTCGTTCCCATGTTTGGGAACGATAAACCCAAATATGGGAACGCCATGTAGGCATTGTTTAAAACAAGAAGAAAAACCGTGAAATGACGTCCAAAAAATATAAAACGATTGTGAACCGCCTGATATTTGTCTCAATATTGTTGGGAAAGAGTTTGGTATTGTAAGGCCCATTGTAGCTTCAAATCGTTCCTCTATTTCTAAAGCAGTCCACCGCCCGGGCCGCGTGCCCAAATTTGGGAACGCTCTCGTACACTGGCGCTGCAAGCGTTCCTTATTATAGGAACGGCGTACCCAAAATTGGGAACGATTTCACCGACGCCTTTCACGGGCTCTTTTCATTAATAAGCATCACGTTCAATGCCGCAGGTTATTGTTAACGCAACAATCATAAGATGACCTTTCCGGCAAGACCGCCGCATGTTTCGCCGGGTCTTCTGCGCTCTTATTCCCGTCGATCCCGCAGCGTGCACGCCCCCCTCTGCAGGATTACTTAATTCACAACGCTCAGCGATGTTCAACAAGGTCTTCCATGCCTATATACACCATCCACGCCGAGGGTGGAGGCATGTAAAACACCTGTCTGTTTAACACTGATAGTTGACGAGCACAAGTAAGCATCCAAAAATGGGAACGCTGAAATGTTTCACTCTCAAAACACCTAGTCCCAATATAAATCTACTTTTTTCCTTTCTTAATGAGTGTAGGTGGCAAAAAGCCTGGTAGGATGGGCACGAGAAATGATCAAAATTAGCATAAAAATTATAAATAAGCCACACAGGGCGACCTGCATAAAAGAAATTCCCCCAAAACGATCGTGCTTAAAAATACCGAAGGCAAAAACCACGCTCATGACGCTCCTTAAAAGCAACGCTAAACAGCTAGCATCCAAATAAAATATGTCTTTCAGGGTTGATAAAATACAGCTGAATAATTTTCAACCGCTTAAACTGAGTTTACAACAGTAGTTCGGTAAATTCACTCACGTTCCACGCGGTCGTCCGCCCCGACACCAAAAGTCAACAATATTACCTCGGGACCGTCCGCGTCTTCGCTTGCATTTGTCAGCATCTGGTGTCGATAGTATGAAAGTTCATAACCAGGCGAAAATTATTATACTTTACCTCAAACTAAAAAATGCTTCATTTTCCTTAAAATTGCATGTTAAATGTCGTATAACCCATATTTCCACCATTCTGTCATTTTTAAAAAATCATTAAAAATATCATTCCACGGTCAATTTCCTTGTTCCACGGTCAGATTAAAGATAACTTTATGGAGATTTAGTAGATACTTAAATCAGCTTGCACTTTTTTGAGACGTGATGCACTTATGAGTTTTAGTGGGCGAACGGCCGAAAAATTGCCTTCCGTTCTCATAAATGGGAACGCCCGTTCCCAAAAATGGGAACGTTCCTATATTTGGGTACTCATGACCATAGTTCCGCCTACTGATTTGTTTCACTCAACTGTTTTGATTTAATTTACTCTACAGTTTAGGTACCTACCTACTTTTTCTGGTAAATAATTTTTAGTATTGGGTTTTGGACACATCTAGGGTTGTTATCAATTATATTTTTATAGCTAGACAAACAGCATCGCCATCAGCAGCCGTGTCGTAGTAACAGCAAGCAGCAATGAATGATTGTGGGGAAGGGACATCAAATGAAGGTGGAATCCTACCACTCTTCAGTGTTCAAGGCTGGCTGTCACTATTCAGTGCTCACTGCATCTAAAGATTATGTTATCTATATACCGTGGCTCACTGCATCTATAGACTATGAGTGTATATGAGTAAGCTGTGCACTTATTATGGGTAATAAGCACACAGCACAGATGCTTGTGCATTGGAATGCCTAGCATTTGTGCACTTCAACTTTGTAATCAATAATCATTGTTATTTCAGGGTCAACTATGGATATAATGGAAGGACAGTTCAGTGATGCAGATGATGATCAAACAGCACTGGAATCATCCAACATTTCCAACAAGTAAGGCAAAATGTGATGAATACAGACTCTGCCCCAAATTGTTTTAATGTCTGCTGGATAGTGACTAATGTGTTGGCAATTAGATAACTTTTTATCTGTTTATCATGTTTTCATTGTTTCATAAAACTAAGGATCAGCTAATGCTACTAATGTTATTGATGTTATGTGTCTTATAAATGTTTGAATATAATGGTATGAATGTTAGTGTTACTCTGCAGCGTTTTGATTGCTCATTCTCACTTGTGTGGTCTTTACATGCCAGTATATTGCTGCAGCTACTTATACTATTGCGGCAGTTTTTTTATAGAAGGTGGGTAGATTATAGGTATGCAACATGTATGATGCAACACAAGTTTTGCTTTTTCCCATTTTAACCTTGTACTTGTGTTCAAATGTTTGAAGGGTTTGAATAAGTTGTAAAGAAATAATGTGAATCAAATTTAGGAGTCAGCCGCTGTGTTGCATCATGTAAGGGCTCCCTGTTTTACTAGTCTGACTGACCATTTCTGTTTCTGTCCCAGGCAGGGTGCATTTCAGCCAGCAGTGTCTGCTGTTACTGGAGGCTTGGCTGAACTGAGCACACATGCCTCTGAGTTGTCCGAGGAGGTGTCAAGGGCGACCAAGGAAGACACAGTCTTTACAGATGACCAGGACCTGGATGAAGACTACCAGAGTGATGAGGATGCTGAGTTCTATGACTGGGATCCATCCTGCAAGAAGGGTGGGTGTAGCTGCTGGTGATCTCTGTAGATCTCTGTAGTCTTGTTGATTCAGGATCAATTGCTTGTATGGGTCATGATTCATGTCTCTATCTGTCAGTTTTATAATTCAAATAGGAACTAGGAAGACATTCAAATCTGGACAAAGTACAATGCTTTAACATGTAGAAGATCAAATAAAGGCGTGTTTTTTGCCTTGAGCAGTTTGTAGCCTTATTTGTGGCAAGCTGTGTTTGCTGTGGCAAATGTATTTGTTCTTGTAAATCCCTACAGTCCAAATTATTTGTGAGTCTTATCCTGTTTGCTGTTTGAAGAGAGATCTTGATTGATAGATATGATGCTTTTCAGATTTGACCAAGGAGTATTTGTCTCATCGTGGAGCCTCACAGGCTGGTGGAACTGCGGGAGGCGGTGGCAAGAACTTCCAGCCGTCAAAGAACCTTATGATGCGCTACAGCAACCGTATCAACCTGGACCGCTACGACGGCCCGCGGGTATCGCACGCCGTCAGGAACCAGATCTCTGAGGCAGCCAAGAGGGATGACTCGGCCAGGTAGGCATCACGCTGACTTGTACAGAGGTAGACTGTCGAACGTGGGTGTGGAAGTCGGGTTTGTTTTAATGTCTCCGTGGCGGGAGGAGGACGTAGCAGGCCCTATGGGTAGGTATGTCAGTATTATCAGGGACAAAATAAGCAGCGGGCTTTTACGGTTTCATGGTATCGCCGGGGGTTCTTGCTAGCGGACCGTCCTATAGGTACAGTTACACGTATCGAGCAATGCTGCATCTTACACTGGGCGGTGGCCTCATAGGGCATTACGCCGGCCCGTGCGCTCTCTGCTTACCGGTACACCCACCGTCGTCTCGCCAGGATCCGCACCAAGGACAAGAAGGACCGTGCCACTGTGGAGCAGGTGCTGGACCCGCGCACCAGGATGATCCTCTACCAGCTGATGGACAGGGAGTACTTCACAGAGATCAACGGCTCCGTCTCCATGGGCAAGGTAGGTAACGGCCGATGAAATGATAGAACAGATAGAGTGACAGCTAGGAGTGGGAAAGATTTCAAGATTTCAAGAGAGAGAGAGAGAGAGAGAGAGAGAGAGAGAGAGAGAGAGAGAGAGAGAGAGAGAGAGAGAGAGAGAGAGAGAGAGAGAGAGAGAGAGAGCGAGAGCGAGAGCGAGAGCGAGAGCGAGAGCGAGAGCGAGAGCGAGAGCGAGAGCGAGAGCGAGAGCGAGAGCGAGAGCGAGAGCGAGAGCGAGAGCGAGAGCGAGAGCGAGAGCGAGAGCGAGAGCGAGAGCGAGAGCGAGAGCGAGAGCGAGAGCGAGAGCGAGAGCGAGAGCGAGAGCGAGAGCGAGAGCGAGAGCGAGAGCGAGAGCGAGAGCGAGAGAGAGAGAGAGCGAATTGATGGATAAATGAAGATTGATTTCATACTGTTGTGCTAGTGCCGTCACGGATATTTTCCTCGCACCACTCTCGTATGCAAGGCTCATCCTCTCGCCGTGTGCTGATGCTTTCGCTAATTTCCCATTTTGTCGTTGTTTGCAGGAGGCTAACGTGTTCCACGCCAGCGGCGCTCCCCCGCTGAACGAGGATGGCACGGGCACAGAGCGCGCCGTCAAAATCTACAAGACCTCCATCCTGACATTCAAGGACAGGGAGAAATACGTGGCCGGCGAATTCAGGTACTACACTCACAAAGACGCACGGGCTTACTTCAATTGCGTTCAATGCATATATGACACATAGGTAACACAATCTTTGCGTCATTCAGTGTAGTTGTGTGTTGTAGATTGCCTTCGCTGCCTTTTCACATGAGCCTTGTGAAGCTTATTTTTCTACATATTTGCCTATAAGACTTCTCAGTTCTCATATTGTGCTGTGTCACATCCAGTCTTATAAACTCATAACAAATAGCTGATGGTGGTCTTCCTTTTCCCCATCGCAGGCATCGTCACGGCTACAGCAAGCACAACCCGCGCAAGATGGTGCAGACATGGGCCGAGAAGGAGATGCGCAACCTGACGCGCCTGACGCGTGCCGGCGTCCCGTGTCCCCAGCCCGTGCTGCTGCGGAGTAATGTGCTCGTCATGGGCTTCATCGGCGAGCAGGGACGCGCCGCGCCCAAACTGCACGTCAGTATAGAGAGTAGCTCGGTCCGGCCGGTCTGTGGAGGGACGCCGCTGTGGGGTCGTCTTTCAGGGGTGCATTGAAAGTTTGTTGATGCAGTTGAATAACAGTGTGTTCTGCTTCATCTGGAACCTGCCTGACTTGATGCATATTGCCAAAACAATCTCATTTATTTTGTTTCGACTTTCAGCTTCTTCTTTGTGAATTCTTAGGTCGGTTTTAAATTAGGAAGCACTGGGGAATGTTTTGAAAACGTTTCACGATCTCCAAATGCTCAGTTTATCGCCTATTTTTACGAGAGTCTGGAGCGCGATAGATACAGACCGGGACCGATCGAGGTCAGAGATTGGTACGTATATTTGCCAGTCGTTCAATGGCGTTTCTCCTGCTCACTTCCCTCTCCCTTCTGTCGACAGGACGCGTCCATCAGCAGCTCGAAGGCGCGCGAGCTGTACCTGGACGTGGTGAAGATGATGCGCACCATCTACCACGAGTGTCGGCTGGTGCACGCCGACCTCAGCGAGTACAACATGCTGTGAGTTACCGCCGGGGCGACGGCATTGGTGGGCGATGGGAAGGTGTGCAGACAGAGATGTTTCGACTCTGAATGGCCAGTTCGTTTAGTAGCTGCGTCATATGTGGGCGGCTGTGCTGTGCGTAACACAGATGGTGAAGCGTTCGCCTGCCTGATCTCTCACCCTTCCTTGATCTTCCATGCCATTATGCTCTCTCCCTTGCTCTCCCTTCCACACAATTTTCGATCGTTTTCTACGGTGCGGGCATAACCAGCTGACGTGGTGTCCGTGTCTCTGTTTCAGGTACTTCAAGGGCCGTGTGTACATCATTGACGTATCACAGTCGCTGGAGCACGACCATCAGAACTCGCTGTTCTTCCTGCGCAAGGACTGCACCAACATCACCAGTGAGGCTGATGGGAAGGGGAGGCCGAACTTAACATCCCAAAGTTCACACGTGCACACGCAGCTCATATGTTGTGCTCTGAAATATACGGCCTTCGGTAAACTTTGAAATCAAAATACAATTGCTGATTTAGAGCTGCGCAATATTGCAATTAAATATCCTGCCGTTCACATCCTGTGCTGGGGTTTAGGCTGTCCGATTACCGGGAGTCATTGGTACTGCAGTTACCGCTGCTCGTTTGATGCGGCCGCTCTCTCCGTTCATTGTCTGTCTCAGCATCTGACCTCCTTTTCCCCGTGTCCGGCAGACTACTTCACCCGACTGCAGGTGGCCACCATGACCGTCCGAGAGCTGTTTGACTTTATCGTGGACCCCAACATCGGGGCCGACAACCAGGCCGACTACTTGTCGCGAATGATGGCCGTGACGGCCGAGCGCGGCCAGCTCACCAACCAGCAGATCGTCGACGAGGAGGTCTTCAAGAACGCCTACATACCCAAACGGCTCGACGAGGTTCGTTTGGTTGTTTGCTTGTGTTGGTAAATTTCTGACACGTGGTGGTTCGGTGGAAACCGCTCGGCCACTTAGCCGTCAGCTCCGTGTCCTTGGAACGTTTTCGACAGCTATGTGCTGTGTGATCTTGTATCGGTTTTCATCTTCTGGCTCTGAGGAAGCTTTTGTTCATTGGATTTACTAGGAAATAAAAATGCCCTATAATGAATTATGAATGGCTTGAGTTAGACAAAGAAGTCAACCAGTGATAAAACGATAACTGTGTTTACTCTGACCAATATCACTCAAGTCCACTTTTCATTCTTCGTTGTGCTCGCTTTCCGTGGGTTTATTGACTCAACTTCAACGATCGCCCTCCAACAGGTGTTTAACGCCGAGCGTGACATAAAGCAGGCGAAGTCTGGCGAGCGTGAGCTCATCTACTCGACCATCACGGGCATCAAGCCGGACCTGTCGGCCGTGCAGCTGGTGCCCACGCGGCTCGGACAGGTCAGCGAGCGGTCCTGGGACGAGGGAGAAGGCAAATTGGTGGTATTGGGATGGGACTGGCCAGCGGGATCGGGCGGTAGATCAGCGGTCCAGGGGAGAAGCTGTGCCGGTGGATCGATGGCGTTGGGAAGAGGGCTCTGCGGGGCTCTGTGGCGTCAGACGGTTCCCATTAGACAGTGGATACGTTCTGAGTGTGTGATGTCTGAATCATTCCAGCATACACGCTGTATGTAACGTCAGACACCCACTCGCCCAACTCGAGTATTGACTATTTCACACTCTGTTTATGCCTCCAGACGGCGGGCCACTCTGAGGGGGAGGAAGGGGAGGAAGGTGATGCGAGCGGCTCCTCGGGTGAGGAGGACAGCGAGGACAGTGAGGACGAGGACGGCGGCTCAAAGTTCGTCAACTCACGCCGGCCCAGGGACGAGTCGCCTGACAGTAAAAAGGTGAGCGTCAGTTGACTGGCACTGTCCGTCGAGTACAATGCATCCTAATAACCGTGACCGGCTGCAGACAATTTACTAATTACAAAGCTCAGCCGACAACTTCAGTTAGTGCATCTGGGCGATGTTAATTAATATTCGGGAGATAAATTGTTTGTCATTTGTGTACCGGACTCTGCAAATGTCACATAGCTAACGTCTGATCGTGTTTCAGGAGAGAAAGAAGGCCGTAAAGGAACAGAAGGCAGAAAAGCGGAAAAGCAAGGTGAAAAAGCACATCAAGAAAAGGAAAGAGAAGGAAAACAAAAAGAAGTAGTGCACCTTGTTGAGTACTGATTTATAAGAATTGTTTACATATATTGTTCTCAGATGCATCTCTCGGGTAAGCAGAAGGCGATGGTCTGCCATTATGGTCGCATCTTGTCGATTCAGGCGGGGTATGTCTCCTCTCCGATCAGGGGTCTGCTGCCCACTGGGCTACTCAGGGGGGCGGGGCAGAGCCTCCGGGGACGACCTTTGTGGCCAGCCCGGGCGGGACAAACGGCGGGCTTATTTGCTGCCTGCTGGTCCCGAGGGATTGGGTTTACCCTAAGAGAACGGTGTGCTATTCAACTGTGTCCAGGCTGGGCGGAGCAAGCGCTGGGAAGGGGGTCAATTGTTGTCCAGGCGGGTTTGGTCTGCTGTCCACTGGTTACCCAGGGGCGGAGTAGACCACACACAATGCAGGGAAGGAAGTTGGCTCCGCTAGCTGAAGGCATGACCTGTGGGTGGGACATGAGGTGCCTTCCGCACTTTGTGCTATGGTGTGTCTGTGTCAAGGTGTCGTCTTCTCGCTGGGTGTGCGCTCCACGTTAGTCTAATTTATTGTTGGTCCGGTTTTAGCAACATTTTGTACCATGTTCATGACTGTTTTAGTCATGCCCATTGACAAAATACAACCCCAGTGACGTGATTTCTTTGAATGTGGGATGTCTCAACTATTGGTATTAGCTCTTCTCCTTAACTTCATGCTGTAGTGGTCGTACTATGGAAGATAACTATGACATATTCGCTTTCCGATCAGGATTACCGATGTTACCACATTTCCCTAGCGTTCTTCACATACTCGTATATTGCATCATATCATTGTGCACCACAACTGATCCCATGTTATACCTGAATCCCAGCCCACACCTAGCACAGCGCACTGGATTGCACGAACATTGAATTGCACTAACACTGGAGATATTGCACTTAGCGCCCATCAGCGGACTGGGCTCCGCAACTCAGTGTGTCCCGGTCCCGATAACGGGCGCTGCAAAAGTACAAACTGGCCCTGTCGGTCATCCCACCGTCCTAGTTAGGCAGTTTGGGACCGGAGAAGTCTGCGAGGTCCGCCGCGTATCGTCCGTCCCCTGACTGTAGCAGTGTACCCGTCCGTCCCCTGTGACCCGCCGCCGCCCAGCGCCGTGTCCTATGATAGACCATAGGGTCGGCCGGCGCTGGCGGCTTCTCGGCCGCGCTACTGACTCGCTCAGCTCGCACTCCGCGAGCCGGGAGTGGCGCGCGACTTTCGACAGCAGTACCCCGCTCTGTCTGCTGCTCAGTGTATACTGCTGGTCAGCAGATTCTGCTGTTCAGCACGTCCTGCTGTTCAGCACGTCCTGCTGATCAGCAGGGCTCCGACTCCGGCTCCCTATCCTGCTGCCACTGGCGGCCGCTGCGCAGCAATCCCTGTCGACAGGAGTTGAGGTCACACGGGAGCAGCCGGCGATTGGTACGGTACAGTTCGCATCAGGTCCGTGCAGATTCGCTGAACTGAGAGGCGTTACAGTATTATTCTTGGTCCAGCGAATGGTCTGATTTGTTGCTTAGCTGTAATGAGACCTCAGCGATGGGCGAACCATTCCCATTCCTTTCACAGGCCACACCCCAGTTGAACGCTTTCGACCGATACGGAGAATGCAGCCAGGCACATGTGCATGGTCCTATCTACTCACTACTGTGATTGTTCGCAGAAGACGGATGGGGCGATGAGCTGGGAGTCACAGTCAAAGTTTCGTGCTTGATGTGAAAGCGTAAAAGCTTGATGTAAAAGGCTGTATGTAAAATGTAAAAGCTTGAGCAAACTCTGAGTCATCATGTCTCATGATTGTTCATTGCATGATCCACGGCCATAGATCCAAGGTGGGACGGCCAAAGAGGAGACCACCGCTACAGGTTTTGTACAGGGACACAAGAGAGCACTGTCACGGGTACCCAGGCAATCCATGCACAACTTTGAGTTGCATAGTACCTGGCCTCTGTTTTCGAGCGGCTGGCGCAGAAGGAGCCATCGTATTCGTGCACATGTGCCTATGTAATGTATGCGCGGAGGATTCCCAAAACATGCTCCGGGTAAGGGAAGAAAGCATGCTGGTTATAGGACACGAACGCACCCGTTTCAATTTTGTGAGCTGTCTGAGCACACTGTCCCTGCCCATGCACGTAGACGAGGCCGGGCCGTCCCTGGCGGACGTCCCTCGTAAGTTGTGTTTACTGACCGCCTCGCTAGATGTCTCGCTCACCGATTGGGAGGCCTCCGAGCGATCGGAATCTGAAACAGCCACAAGCGCAGCCCTCCGGAGTCACTCGGCCTCCGCCAGTCGACCGTCGCGGACATCTGAAACCGGGGCATGTGAGGTCACCGTCTGGGGCCGGCGCTCCGGACCCCGGCGCGGACCGCCGCACGGACTAAAGGGTCGGCCAGGGATGCAGACCGACAGAGTCTCAGAATGCGGCCAGGCCAAGGGTCGCCGGAATCACGCAGATTGGTACACGGCTCTTGGGCAGACTGAACTCCGCAGGCGTTATTCGATTCGCGAGGTGTGGCAGCTCAGCCTGTGTACTGGGTAACTAGGTACTGCTCTCGCTACCAGGGCAGGCACAACGTTCAGGCATGATCTATGGCAAATGGCAGCACAAAAAAAAACAGAATTCAGGAAAAATATGAAAACTATTTACATACAGACATGCAAAAACACACCGTTTTTGCATCCAGATTATCTACAGGTTGGCGATATGCAGAGGACAGCGTTACAGCTTTCAAACATTCTACGCTTATTCCAGTCTTGTTTGGTACAAAGATGTTGAGGCGGCTCTAAAGGTCGATCCGGGGCCGGCCTGTGCCAGCGGCGCTCTCTAATACTCACCTCTGCTGGCGCCGTCCGCCGTATCAGCCGCCTCCGACCGCTCCTGGGACCCGGACGAATGCTCCGAGCCCGTGTCCTCCCGGTCTATCGCCTCCTCCTCCTCATCCTCTCCCTCTTCCTCCCGGTCCTCGCGGTCTTGGGCCTTATGCACCGGCGGTGGTGCGCCGGCCGACTCATTGTACAAATGAGGTGGCTCCTCGTCCTCCTTATCTGTCCCATTGTCCCTCCGGGAGCGTCGCCGCGCCGGCGGTCCACCCGCCCGCTCAGTGTCGCCGTCCGCGCCGCCATCCGGCGCGTCCTCAGTAGAACCCGGTGATTGCGCAGCCTCCCGGCCCACAGCGCTCACTACGCGAGAGCCGATGTCTCGCAGGGCCTTCTCTGTGGAGACGGGCGGGTAGACTGGGATGTCGCCGGCGGCGGCGAGCAGTGGCAGACTGTGCGCGTGGCTCAGATAGGCCAGGTGCGGCTGGCTGAGCGGCACCAGGGCCACGTTACCGTACTCGGGAAGGAACAGCACTTCGCTAGCCGTGATCAGAGGTACGGAGGAGCCGAGAGCGCGCGCTGCCGCTCGTGACGACGAAGATGAGGAGAACTTGCCGTCGGAGGATGCGGCGTAGTAGGCGGCGACTCGGGCCTTGAGCGGCGAGTGGCTGCGGTAGCGGGGGACGGTACGAGAGTTTCGCCACTCAGACACGCCGGACCTGGGGGCAGCAGCGGGGTGCGAGGTCAGCCCCAACTCCCAAGATACAGAAACATGAAAGCATGCTACAGGTTTTGCAATGACAAGCGAAAGACAGCCCTGTGACAACGGAGAGGTTCCACAACGGAAGGAAAGGGGAGCTGTATTTGAGCTCATGAGGTTATGGGGCTGTTCCAAGACTTGCATTCTCATGTCGTTACCTGTTTGTATCAGTCCGTTTGTCGCGGCTGGCACGGTGCTCGGCCGACCAGTCCGGTGGCCCCGTGTCTGTGTCCGAGCACGATTCGTCCTCGTTCCTCAGCTGCCTCTCCCTCCGCCGACGGGCGCCGCCGCGCGACACCAGCAGGTCCTTCTCCGTCTGCTTCAGGTACACCTTCTCCGGCTGACACACGGTAGAAAGAGGAGGGACATAATGGGTCAGAACACACACTGGTCGGCGGGGTCAGAGCACATCGGGGCATCAGGATCAGGGTATGTGTAACGGAATGGCACGCTGAGGTCTCTAGACACTGAAGACTCTAGTTATGGTTTCTAATAAGCGTCTCCAGTGGCACTCGCATGACCCGTTCCACTCGTCTCCCACCTCTCTGACCCGTCCCCGCCCTTCCGTGGTCGTTTCTGGCCACCGCCGTTACTGGGCACCGCCGCCGTCTCCTCTCGGCGTCCCTGACCAGCCCACTGACCTGCGGTGCGTTCCAGCGCGGCCGGTCCTCGATCTTCAGCGGCCTGGCCCGCGCCTTGGAGCGCTCCCGGCGGCGACCGTGTCGTGTCGGCGGCGTCTCAGTGCCCACTGTGACATCCCTCCGTTGGACCAGCTCGGCCGGCCTCTGGCGCCGACCCGGCTCCGTCTGTGTGCCGAACTCACAGCCAGAGCTAGTTCTGTCGCCCCGGTACTTGGTGGGTGTGAGCACCCGGTCCTCTATGTAGAGCCGCCCCAGGCCGGGCAGCGGCTGGCGGCCGGAGCCGAGCCGGTCCTCGGTCGCCGCCGGCTCAGAGCGGCGCCGGTTCTGCAGAGGACTCAGCCGCGCCCGGCCGCTCGGACCGTTCGGCCGGCTCGACTCGCTCTCTCCACTGCTGGAGTTGCTCGGTCGGGAGGTGAGCCTGTGGGAGGTGTTTGCCGTGCCGCCGTTGCCATCCCCTGCTCCTCCGCCGGCCGTCTGCTCGGTCGCCGGCTCTGCTGTCGAGCTGGCTACCGGAGCGGTTGGCTCCTCCCTGCGCGTGGTGGTCGCTGCCGAATCACCAGCGGCGCCGCGCAGTCGCCGCCGTTTCTCTGCGACCGCCTCCTGCTCGGCCTTTCTGATAGCCTCGGTGACCAGCATCTGTCGTCGCTCGGCAGCCGCCCGCCGCTCAGCCGTGACCAGGCGCTGCCGCTCGGCGGTTTGACGCTCGCGCTCGTTCTGACGCCGGATGTGCTCGTCGAGAGCGGCCTCCTCTCTCGCGGCACGCTCCCGCTCCTCGCGCTGCCGACGCTCCTTCTCGGCCGTCTGAGGGACAGACGTTCACTGGTCACCTGACATCAGCGGTCTGTCAGTGGCTCACATCTGGGTACCATAATAAACAATGCATAGCACACAACACCGGATAGCTGTTTGCGTATATTGATCATCTGTCTAAAAACGTCCGTATGCATTTTGCTCGGTGTATCTGCTCGCACACTCCCATTTGTTCTGGAGGTCAAATGCTGCGCACCTTCCCATACCTGAAAGGCCGGTCACCAAGACCAGTGACAGGAATGGTCGATGCCTCAGGTCGAAGACCCCGGCTAACATTCAGACAATGACTAAGTACTTGCACAAACTCCGGGGCCTGTATGAGCCCCTGCTACAAGGGATGATCCTGGCGACCTCATTTTAGCGCCATACCGACATGTGATAGGTGGATGTTCGCTGTGTCGATCTGTACACCAGCCGGACGACCGACGATAACTGCCAAGATAGTGGACACATCAGCTAATGACGAAGGCATGTGCTAGATCAGGCCACGCCAGCCATACCACGGGAAAGTTCACCTTTGTGTGGCTAAAATGGGCTTATACCGTGCAGTTTAGGTTATTCACCGACGGAGCAGGGCTGTTCACTGCGCGCTAGGGGTGGGTACGGCCCTGCAGGCCTGGTAGGCCTGTGCGCAGAGGCGAGGGGGACGGGGATGGCCGAGGTAGCCCCGTATTGACCGTCCCGGCACCTCAGGGTAAGCCGGCCAGGCACAGAGTGAATCATGCCATGGATTAAGTGGAGTTTACATGGAAAATAAACAGCCCTTGTCCCTTGATGTTTCTAGGGAAATGAAAATGTGTCAACATAACACAACCCTTTGGTTTGTGTCTGCGACAGGCTTGCACGTATTCGTATAGATGTGTTGTGGTTCTTAGCATTTTTGGGAATACGCAGCAAATCACAGCCCGTTTGGCGTTCCGGACCGCGAAACACGGACCAGGACGATAGGATGTTTAACCTTTCTGGGATTTAATTACTCACTACGCGTGTGCGCCCGCTTACGACCCAATGAGGCTCGTAGTCGTGCCCCGGTCGATGGGGGCGGTGCTGCGGGCTCCGTACGTTCGTCGTGTATATTTTATGTGCCCACGTGACGCAGCACGGTCTGAACAATGGTCAGCGGTAGTCGGTACCTAGTCTGCGAGTGACGCGGTGGAAACACGGTCCAACCAGCTGCGGCGGCGATGGATTGGAAACGAGCACGGAACCGGGCTGACAAGTGGTCATTTCCAACGGTAGTTGAGCTAAACGGCTAATGTCGCCATGGCCGTAACGGCTTCTGTGATGGCAAACCATTACGGATTGGCAGCTAGGAATTGTAAAAGACAGTTAGGCTTTCCAGTGTTGGAATATTTTGCTCAATGTTTATCGTCACGAATACGATGGTTCAGTTCGATCCCATATGTTCACTTCAGGAAAGTGTCGGCTTTCACTCACTTTCAGTGAGTGCAAAGCCAGTGGAAAAGCAGGCATGTAGCTTGGAGCTGTGAGCTGTCGTACTTCAACAATAATGCCACGCTTTTCATACGAACTCAACAAACGCGAAACTGGATAGCGTGCTGAAGTGTTGGTAACGCCGGCCGCACTGCGGAATGACGTGCCGTCCACTTTCCCTACTAATAGGTCCAATGTTGAGCAGCGTGACACTGCTCAGTTAGTCCTCAGTCCAAGACGTTACGTGTGTGTCGGCGCGGTGCGGCGCGATGTATCGGCAGTCCCCGGGCGATCGGTGCCGTGTGGGGCCGTCGCCGCCGACACGGGTCGGCGAGAGTCGTTTGTCGCCCATTGTGTCGTGTGTCAGCCGTGACCCCGCGCAGGTCAGGTTGACAATGACACCGGTCGCCATGTAGGGAAGATGTGGTGTGGCCTCTGATACTGATAGCGACTGATGGGCTATGGGGGCAGCGAACGCTAGGCCACTTACCTCTTACCGCGACCCGCTGACCGTCTACTAGCTGGTTGAGCTGCCCCAGAACGTTTTACCTTGATTGGCTTTGGACGGAATGTCTGCGTCACTCGCCTATATTATATAACTTCGCTGATCGTTTTGTGTTCCTACTGATCCATCTCCGCAGTCCGTCTGTTGCAATGTTGCAATCGCCTTTCTCTGTTTGGCTCTGCCTGTTGAACTCGCCTGTTTCTGGTTGTCTCGGAGGTGCTGCAGGGCCACCTGACGCCGCCGCTCGGCGTCCGTGAGACCCTCGGCCGGTGGAGTGGCGCCGGGACCGGCTGCCGGGGCCGCCGTGTCGATCCGACGTGCCCTCACCGGACCGGAGTCCGTCGCGCGTCTGCGGAAGGAGCCGAAAAAGATAGATGACGGTAAAGCTTGGCGACGAAAACGAGACGGGACGGTCAACGATGGTATAAAAACGGGGCAGTCAACGGCGGTAAAATGAGACTGTACAGGGTGTCCCATAAGTTCCTTCTCACCTAAATTTTTCTTTTAAAGGCTCCCTTATTTAAAGCCACGCTTAATTTATTTTGTAACTTAGCTTTTGGGGTTGCTATGGTAACTGTGAATATGCTCCACGGTAACTAATTCGTCTAGACAAAATATTTTTTGCTAGAGAGTTCACTTCCTGTGGAGACGGCTTACGCCGCAACATAGAGGTCTCCGATACGGGTACGTCTCGGTATTTAGTCCGCACGTGGGCCATTTGCGACGGTTGAGGGTGATTGAGGCATCCAGTCTGTAGCCAATGTCTGTCGCTAACTGGACGCACAGTCAGCAAGTGACACCGATGATTTGTCGGGAGTCAATCGCTGCAAGTTTATGCTCTTTTTTTGTCAGCTCTCAGGAGTGTGCCATGTGGTCAAAACTGTGTGGCGCCAAAGTGGCCGTCAAAAAGGTCTAGCGTTAGAAAGTTGGTAAGCAGGCTTTTCAGAATGGATTACCAGCTGTCTAAGAGTATTATTTCGGAGTACATAACTCACGGTCACTTGGGCTTAAACTTAACGGAGGACGCAAAACAGTCGAAAATGTCTTAAAATGGCCAAACATTTGTTTCGTTATGCCTGAGGCTAAAAAACTGGAGGGCCGATGACATCAATGTGGTCATCTGGACTACCTAGTCCGTGTTCGAGATAAAACAACCGTCCAAACCCCAAAACGGTCCCATATGGGCGACGGAAAAGGCCTTCGTGTCATCCCGCTTTAATCCTATGCAAAAGGCCAGGGTCATGGTAATGTGGGGTAATATGCGTCCAGACGCTGAGCAGGTTGCGATTGATACTCCAGAAACAGTGTTGGGACGCAGAATGCTTCTCCAAGAAGATCTAGGAGGAGTTTCTGCCTTCTAGCTCAACTCGAACCGCAAGTATGAACACATTTTTGGAGGAGAAAATGGCATTCGGGAGGTCGTAGGCCTATCTTCAAGCAAGACAGTGCATCAGTGCAGAGGTCAAGCAAAGCTTGAAAGCAGTGCCAGGAGACTGTGATAGGCATCTGTGGCAAGATCACATCCCAGGCAACTCATCGGATCCAAATTTCATAAAAATGTGTTGGAAATATTGAAATCGAGGCTCGTCGAAGCGAAGCGCTGTTCCAGCCTCGAGGAGCTCACGGCGCATGTCAAGTCAGTCTGGGCTAACTTCAAGCCTGCTATGCTGCCAAACATGCCGGTTGGCATGCCGCAGCATGTATTCATGTGTTTGCCTATGAAATGGGGAGCACATTGAGGGGTCATAAACATATCAAAACGCAATGTTCTCTGTTTTACATGCAAATATAAGGTGAGAACGAACTTATGGGACACCCTGTAGACGTTGATGAAACAAGACGGGATAAAACGAAACCCAAACAAACTGCATTGCACATCGCACAAGCTTCAGGATTGCAAGGAGGAGCGTTGATATCTTTGGGTCATACTGCGACCGAGGTGGTGTCACAAATCTACCCGGAACGATAAACAAGCGTGCGTTCCATTGGCGAAATGGGGCCAGCTTATTTGTTCCGTCTGGATAAATAGTTCGTGGCTGGGGCCGTCGACAGCCACGACGCCGTTGGCATGACAACCGTGGCCACACGCACGCCGCAGCCGGTGCGGGAAGACGGTATGTCGGTCCGGTATCGCGTCCCCCCCGGCCTCCATTGATCCCGGCTCGGCTGAACGGAGGAAGCCGTCACTTCGAGGAGGGAGGACGTGGCGCCTGGCCTGCCGATCTCGGCTCAGCACTGGGGCTGACTGTAGCTCCATTCGCGGCAGCTTTTCTTTCATACACAAAGTGACAGACACGCTTCGAATCGCAATTTCGACGAATGACTCGAAGGTGAAGTCAAGCACTATAGCCACGTTCCATTACGTATCGCTTAGTAACGTAAAGAAATAAGACAGTATCCCAGTTTCGAGCACATCGGACCGCTCCTCTCCGTTCGGCCGGTCCCTGCTGCAGTCCCGACTGACCTGGCCATCTGGGCGGGCAGCCGGAACAGCGGGTGTGTCCCGGTGGCGGCAGGCGAGGCGGGACCCGACCCGGCGGCCACACTCGGTGACCGGTCATCCACCTCGACAGTGGTGCCGTCCGCCGCGCGCTCCACCCAGCGCGGTGCCTCGAACTGCGGACAGGGAGGCGACGATGAGATGACGAAGAGAGACGGTGGCTAGTCTGGAAAGAGCATTTATCCTCCCCCCCCCCCTTGGCGCCTCTCTAAGACATAACTAAATTGTAAGGGAATGGTGTTGCGTTTTAATACGAGGGGTACTGAAACATTAAACAATTCAAAGACGCCAGAAAATATTGAGGGCGCACTCATCAACCCTCAACTTGGCCTTCTTTCAAGCTAAGCTTAGCATATATAATTAGGTCAATCGCCTGGTGTAAATCACCGTTCCATGCTTCTATCCTCAGGAAACTGAAATCCTTCTCCACGCCGCAACCCCCCTCCGGGCTGGACATACAACCTTATCTCATGCGGGCTGCTCCCTTGGAGCGGCACCGCTGCTCCGGAGGGAGCGCACCCCGTAGCCGGGTGCAGTGAGTACCTTGGGGCTGGGTGGCCTGTCTACTGGACGGGCTCAGCCCCGGTGACTCACTAGGGTGCCTGCCCAGACCAATGTCTCCCCCTATATCCTATCATCCTCCCGGCTCTGAAATGGTCTTAATGGACCGAAAGGGCCTAACCCCCCAGAAAAAACTGGTGTAAAACGTCTGCATCGTAATCCAGCCACAAAAGCTCTAATAACAGTTAATGATCATCATTCATCAGTAGAAACGGTCTTCCATCAATCGTAGCCAAGTAAATAGCTGCTCTGGCTGGTGCAGCAGGTACATTTACCGTATAGGTACTTTGTCGTAGACTATTCGTATGTATCTTGTGACGACATACATGGCTAGCACCTAGCAAGTTGGCAGGGGCACACATTACGCCCTGAGGGCTGGACGCTGGTGCCAATGAAATCACCAGATCGCAATAGCCCGCTAGTTTGGCAGCTGAGCAGTGAGCAGTTGGGCATACTGAACAGTACTATCCCAGTCGTGACGTGCCTGTCACTGACCATCCCTGCCGAGACTGAGGACCGGAGAATGAGCACTGAACAGTGACCCCTGTCGCCGTGTGCCGGTCACGGCCGATCGTCCCCCGGGGGCCGTGCCGCTCAGACGGATCGCGTGTCTGTTGACCGGCCGACGCCTGGCCCCGCCCCGCGGCGCCGATCGGCTCATTAGCGCCCTATACCGTGTGTCGCGTGTCGCCCGGATAGACAGAGCCGTCACCACACCGGACACAGCCTAGGGCAGTGCCACCGGAATGGGGTCATGGACGCAGGAGACGGGACCCTGACGGCACCTCACGCACCCCGGATAAGGGTACCTGCCTGCCCCCGTGCGTTTGCATATTGTATCCACCAATCGGGGTCACCATTGCGCAGTCGAGGTCAGCGATGGTCGATCGATGGCTGCCCGTGCGTCCCATAAAGTCATGGGCATCGGCTTTCGTTGCCCCGTGCAAGGTAATGTCGATCGAACCTGAACGGCTATTTCTACTGCGCAGTGAGCATGACTGTGGCTGCTTGATACGCCAATAACTCTGAAAGCTTGACCTGAATGATCGTTAAATACCGTCTGATACACCAGCCACCAACTGTCTCTTCCGACTAACCCAACAAGTCTTTCGTCGGACCCAGCAAAGCTCCCTAATGTGACTGCTAACTCATCCGACCGATCCATAAGCCACCAGAGTCCCGACTATCTGTAAGAATCTTGGACTGACCTACCATCTCTCCCTGATACCCCCCCCCCCCCACCCCCACACACATCTCCGTAGTCCGTACTGACCTGTCGACCTCCACAGACGTCCGGCAGGTGGGCCGTGGAGGCGCACGGGTCCCAGAGTCGGCTGATACCCACTCCCCGGTCTCCCCACTTCATTCTGTCGGCAGTCTGGGCTCGCCGTCGCAGCTCTGATTCACGGGTCAGTTGGGCCACCTGACGGGCGTGCTGCTGCCGCCTGGGGGTCAGGTCACAGCGAGGTTAGATGGGGACGAGTCAGGTCACACCGGGGGCAAGTTTGGGACGGATCAGGTCAGTAGATTTAGCTGAAGACCGGTGAGGTCACAACAGATTAGTTGGCGACGGGCTATGGCGGGTCAGGTCACACAGGGCCGGATAGTTGGTGACGGGTCAGCTGGGGACGCGTTATGAAGGGTCAGGTCATGGCGGGCTTAGATAGGGCAGGTCAGGTCACAGCGGGGTGTGATGAGGTCAGGTCAGGTCACAGTGGGCTGGTGACGGGTTATGAAGGGTCAGATCATGGTGGGCTTAGATGGGGTCAGGTCAGGTCACACTCACACAAGGATAGCTAGGGACGGATTGGGTGTAGCAGGTATATCTGAGACAGGGCACAGGTTATGACGGGTCAGACGCTAAATCTTGGTAAGAACACACAGGATTATTCAATCGCCCGTAAACTGATCAGGTCCGATATGGGTCCAGGTGATAGACAATTGATAATAGGGAAAACATCATTCATCTTCAAAGATTGCCTATCGCACGTGGAACTATTCTCCATGCTGCCTGGCTGTTCAGTTGTGCATTGCACATTTGAAATAATTTTTTCAGCTAAAATAAGTAACCTACAGAGACGAGTAAGAGCGTTTCGGGTAGGACATAGTTCAATTTTAGTTCATTAGCTTATGAGCGCCTATTCACTTCAATTGCAAAGACATGTTTCCATGAAGTCTGGTTCAGTCACAATGCATGACGCAAAGACCTTCGTGAACACTCCAAATAATGGAAAAGTCACAGTTCAAGTGGAGGCGTACGATAATCACAGCATGCCCGTCATCACACCGTTTCCTTCGTTGAACGGCGGTGCACTAAAAGGTGTGCTTATCGGCACAGGGTCCGGGCACGTCAGGCGGCCATTAGGAGTGCAGGCACCTCCGATCAATAAAGTAGGTATATATGTGAGGCGACTGCCCGCTCCTCGCTGTGCCGGCCAGGGGTCTCAGCGGTCAGGACCGACCCGCAGTGCCGTTCGTTGGGTCTGTTACCTATCCAACCCGACAACACGGCCACGGCGCTGGTTACGCCGCCTGCCTCCCTAGAAGGTGCCGGTGTGCCGATTGTTACCCAACATGACGTCGCTAGGATATGGGTTACCAGGCAGCAAGCAACCCCGACAGTCAGGGGTACCATCTACTGCACATCGCGCACCCAGTTTACCATATCAGTTATCGTCAGCAAATGGACGTGCAAGCAATTAGTGAGAAGCTCAGTGCATATGCAAAATGAATAGCCCGTAAGTTTGCTGTTCTTGCAGCCTAGGAACAGTGTAACCTTCAGCAAACGCAATTCTGGCAGATTGTTAGGGCTAATGTCACCCCTTCAGTTAGCTTGGCTTGGTGTAATTTTTTCCGATTTTATCGGTCATATTCGTTCGCCAGTATTTCAGGGCAGGTATTTAAGAACCACAGCATAGTAACGTGCAATGACCCCAGGTCATATCGTACACCGACTTCCTTTTGCACATTATTCACGAAAATGACGAGTTCTGCAAAATATTCTTTTGGTAGATACATGCTTACTTAAAACGTGTTCGACATTTCTGCATGTAAGGAAATGTTTTTGATAAGGCTAACAACGAAGATACCTTACCTATTCTGTTGTTTTGTTCGTTCCGTTCTCCACATACTATGGCGCCCAATAACAGAACGGCTCCTCTCCTTCGGCTATATGATTCACGAGAGCCTACCACGCTCCCGATGGCGAAGTTGGGAACGACAGTCTAGAGGACGGCTATTTTGAAGCACCTTAGACAGTTATCAGATACGATTAACGGCATTTACCAAAGTTATATACCTAATGAAAACCATTGAAATTTCAGTGGATAAGTAAAGTTAAAGTTCTCGTCAAGAACTGTATGAGAATACCTTCCCATCCAGTGACACATCTGCCACACAGCACTCGCCTCCAGGTCATGGGCATGTCGCGGGTGGGCGGCGGGGCGGCCGGCGGCGGACCATGCTCGGCCACCGGCTCCGGAGGCGCCGCCGGAGCGGGCGGCGGGCCCGCCGTCTCAGCCAGCTCGGCTCTCTGCGGCTCGAACCGAACCGAGCTGAGTGACCCAGCCAAGGCCGTCCGGCTCGGTGGCGGCTCCACTGAGCAGCGGTCCGGCTGCGCCTCGCTGTAGTAGCCCGAGGTGTCACCCTCCTCGGGACTGGCGCGCGGCGTGATGGGCGGCAGGGAGGGGGCGCGTCGCACGTCCGACCGGCCGCTCGCCTCGGCCGACCACCGCTCGGCCGCCGACTGCCGCAGGACAGAGGGCAGTCAAACACAGACACAGACACAGTCACAGATACAGACAACAGGTCAAGTCGCTGACAGACAACGGGGCAGGTCACTCCCTTCCCAAAGGACAGGTCACCGTCAGTTAAGGGACACTAAACGATGACGGACATACGAGTACTAACCACAGACAATTACTGCACTGGCCATTTACAAACAACTTTCACTGCCTACTTACTGAGCGGGATACGTCACTGATGAACAGCGGCAGGTCCTTCAATGACCGGCAGTGTGACCTGGGCGGGTCCTCTGGCCCCACTGGCCCACCTAGTGACGCTGACCCGCAGTTCTGTGGTCTGAGCCAACCTGGGCCGGCTTACAGTGGTAGCTGCTGAGCCGGTCTCTGACACGACCTAAAGCCCCGGCGGATTTCGACTGTGACAACACAGCCCGTCGGCTCAGCAGTTCGTTAGAACGTCCCGGCACGACACCGATTAATGGTATCCTACCAACTAAACGGTGCAACTCCGCTAAATCGGGCGTCAACTCGCATTGCGAAACATGAACCTAAAAGTTTTTTGAACAAAGGTGTAGTTGTGTAACTGTAAGATAAGTATTGTGTAAGAGTGAATTTATTAGGCCGCAGAGCGAAAAACAAAACAAAAACAACCATGCCGTTGTGGTTTTAAACGACAAAGTCGTAATTACGACGAAGTGCTTTATTTTTACCTCGCAAAATTGCAGCTTATGTTACGAATATTGCAGAAAGTGGATTGAATTGCATGCATACAGCATTTAGACTGAAGCATGATACAACTTTGGATGTTCGTTTGCTGTGCCAATGTAGTTGCCGTGCGATGAACATCAGAACAGTCCATGCAAAACCGCCCAGTCAACTGCCCGGTGAGGGATCATCCAGTGATCATCATCATCCAGTTAATCATCCAGTGAGGACTATCCCTCACTGGATAGTTTGATTTTGATTAATGTGTGCATCTATACCATGTTCCTCCGGGAAGATGATCAATGATCATTGATCAGTAATCATCACATGATTTCTATGCATTACCAGCTTCCACCTGTGATAGTTATCAGACTAAAATGAGACGTTTCATCGCTAAAAATTAAAATGGTTATAAACACGCTGCATTATGTTGCACATTTCCCTATGAAATAGTCTTTTTCCGTCAAACTTAGCACGGCTGAACAAGCCTCTCGTGCAGCAACGCTACGGTAATCACCACTGTTAGTCCTGGACAAAGTGGCGTGGCGTGACTCTTTCAGACGGTGAAGTTTCGGGTTCACAGACATCCATGGAGTTAAACATACACCCAGCCCAGACATTTTGATTTGCACGGCACGGAACGAACTCATGAATGTGTGCCGTTTAGCAATCGGAACTGCAAAAACTGTGAGCGCAACATGCATTAGCGATGACTGATGAATACTATGGATTTACGATGCCTGGAAGGGTATGTGACATTTGCTATCTCCTGAGCCGCTCTGCTCACCTTGGCATCTCGCTGTCTCAGTTTGCCGTCTTCCGCGGTCCTCCACAGTCCCGCCAGGCCCCCTCCGTCCACTGGAATCGAGGGCAGACGGGTGGCTGTCAGATGGGTGGCCATCTCGGGCGGCTGCCCACCGGCCGCCGCGCCGGTCCGCGCCCGTCTGGAGGCGGCGGCGAGCCGGCGGCGCACCGCAGCCCACCCCCCGCCGGCCACGGCGACCGCCGCCGCACGCGCCACGCACCGGCCGACGCCGTCGATACCACCACAACAACGGCAGGGTAACGCGCCGTCGTCGGTGGTGGTGGCCGGCGGTGGTCGAGCACGTGGCGGGCAGTGCCCCAGGTCGGCGCGGACAACACGGAGCTCCCGCTGCTGATAAAGAGACACGTGACAAAGCGACACGGCAGGACAGACATGACATGGGAAAATATCGCCCTGGAGACCAAGCGGTCTCACTTGTAGCCAGAAACGTGCCTTCACAGATGGGTGCACCTGTGGTAAAAGAACGGATTTCTTTGTTTCCTGGCCCCGACAACCTCGACCTGAATCGGACAGCAAATAACATTTGCTGCTTTATGGGTGCGTGAGTCGAAGCAGAGTCCAAACGCTATTAGTGTTTCCTCCTCTATCGCCACTGTCCCGTGCTCCCATTCCCATTTGGCTGTTATTGGCCGTACTCACCCACTTTTCGGTTGCGCTCCTCATCTACCACAACCCTGGGTGAGACGACGGTAGCTATTACTGAGGACAACTAACAAAGACAACGAAGCAGAAAGAGTGGAGTTAAAAAAAAAAACGAGAGAAGGAGAGAAAAAGACAGGAAGGGGCCCGCTGTGGGGGATGGTGGGCGGGGGACGCGCTGTCCGCGGTCCATCTCCGCTCCCCGACGGCCTCTGCCGCAGACTGACGGCTGTCCCCTCCGTCCCGTTTCTCCCTCCCTACCCGTCATCGCCCCCTCCCCACAGATCGTGTTTCCCGACCCTGCCTCGGACCAGGCGGCTCGCGGGCTCCAATTCGCGCCCCGTCGGGCCACTAAACTTCATTAGTGTACCCTAATGTCGATTAGTGTTTCCTCCTCTATCGCCACTGTCCCGTGCTCCCATTCCCATTTGGCTGTTATTGGCCGTACTCACCCACTTTTCGGTTGCGCTCCTCATCTACCACCAAATGCCCCAACTGGAACCGATAGGCAATGGTAGTGGGTTGGCGTGGTCCATGGCAGCTGTCCTTGCGGCCGGTCAGGCCACGCTTGTGCCACCACTCCGTTCCGTGCCAGGCCCCACCTTGAACTGTCTGTTAAAGACAACATGATATGCCGGCAGTGCTCCGCCCGCCGCCTCGGTGCTCCCGCGACGCGCCCGCTGGGAGGGGAGTGGGGGGGGGGGGAAGGGGGCATCCCGGCCGCTATTGGCCGAACCCACCTGCGATGAAGGCATCTCACTGCTGCCAGCTGCTGCCAGATACTAGCCGCTGCCAGTCCCGCCCGTCTCATACCTATGTCCCACAAAGTAGTGCGCACGCCAGTCAGTCCAGTACCGAGTCGGACACTCCCGCAGCCGCGCCAGTCGTGGAAGAGCGGATATGTCGAGCGCCTGCCGGTGGGGCTCCGCCCCGCCGCCCCGGGGCTCATAGCCCCGGAACGCGGCCGCTGTGTAGGGGGGCATCCCGACCGCCATTGGCCGCCCCCACTGTAGATGAAGGCTCTCACTGCTGCCATATACTGCCGCGCGCTGGTCACTGCTAGTCCCGCATGTCTCATATGTCCCACGAAGTAAGTGACCCCGGCGACCCCGCCGAGCCGCCGCGCCGCCTCGGCCGGCCCGGCGCGGCGGTCCCCCAACGGTCATATAACACGTCCCGCGACGGCCCCGGTCGGCGCCGGATACGGTTTGCCATAAGAGGACACCGGCGCTCATAAACCAGCTGTGGACATAAACCAGCGGATCCCGAGACGGTGACACGCCGTCTGCGGCGTGCCGCGCCCGTTGACTGACGCCCGTTGGCGCCGCAACCAGCGTCCGACGCTGGGCCGCTCTGGCCGGGTCGTGTGAAAATTGCCGCCAAACCCACTCGTCGGGTCAGACCACCACGCATCCAATCCGGCAGCCACCAGACCGATTGTTCGTTCTACGTTTACCAGGCCAGCCTCAAACCGATCCATTACCACGTAAAGCTGGGGCATGATCCGTTCACCCGCCGCGGTGACCTTGACCCGCTCTCCCACCGGCTTGACCTAAGTTCCCAGGTCAGGGCCGATTCGGCCCTGCCGGGCCACGCACCGAACTGACCTAACATTACCAGGCCATGTCGCTCAGACCCCTCCGTGTCGCCCGCCGTATTGACCTGGCATTCCCAGGTCCGTCGCCGAACTGGCCCCTGCCAGGCCTTACCGAACTGACCTAACAGTCCCAGGTCAGTCGCCGAGCCCGTCTATGCCAGGCCACGCACCGGACTGAAGTAACATTCCCCGTCCAGCCGCCAAACCGGCCTCTGCCAGGCCTGTACCGAACTGACCTAACATCCCAGGTCAGTCGCCGAACCCGTCTATTCCAGGCCACAAATTGGACTGAACTAACATTCCCCGTCCAGCCGCCGATCCGGCCTCTGCCAGGCCTGAGCCGAACTGACCTAACATTCCCAGGTCAGTCGCCGAACCGGCCTCACCAACCGGCCTTTGTCCGCACCGACCTCGCCGAGCCGGCCTCTGTCCGAACCGGCCTCTGCCAGGCCTCGAACCGAACTAACCTAACATTCCCAGGTCAGTCGCCGAACCGGCCTCGCCAAACCGGCCTCTGTCCGCACCGGCCTCGCCGAACCGGCCTCTGTCTGAACCGACCTCTGCCAGGCCTCGTACCGAACTGACCTAACATTCCCAGGTCAGCCGCCGAACCGGCCTCGCCAAACCGGCCTCTGTCCGCACCGGCCTCGCCGAACCGGCCTCTGTCTGAGCCGGCCTCTGCCAGGCCTCGTACACAGGGACCCGACCACCTGCAGCCCGCACTCAGGGAAGGGAAATACTGTGTGTTAGCAAGCCGGCCACACGATCGACATACTCCATGGCCGTAATTGGCCGACCCACTGCGGCATTGTAAGCATCCTCCACTGACACATACAGGCGTCTGTTCCGCAGCCGCCGCTCGGCTCTGACTTGTATCGCAGGCGACCGCAGAGCCGTCGGCGCCGCCCCCGTCCGCGACCGCGTCGGGGCGTCCCGCTATTCCACCCTCCGGTTAGTGCCGTCCTCTTCGTCAGACTCAGACTCTGACGAGGACGGCAGGTCGTCACGCCGTCGGCGGCGCACCGGTCCCCCATTGCTGCTGTGGCGGCGGCGCCGCCGCCGCCCGGTGCGGCCGCGCTACTCCGGGTCCGCTGTGTGGAGCTCAGTGCCACCGCCGTGCCGGCGGAGGTCGCCGAAACGTGTCGCCGGCGCCATCGAACCAGCCCGTTCGCGATCGTCGTCGTACCCCAGAAACGTCATCGGTCTCGGCCCCTCGCCTCAGATGTACGAGTCCTCCGCACTATAGCCCGGCCGCCGGGGCCGTGCCACCGGCTCTCGTTCACGGCCGCCAGCCGCCGGCCCTGTACCCGGCCCACACGGCCCCGTCCCCACTGCCGGGGGCCCGCTGTGGGAAGCCGGGCCCGTCGCCGTCACCGCGCCGGCCGCCGTCACCGTAGCGGCGGCCGGGGGCAGGTGATCAGTTCTGTTGGTTCTGATGGTGGATTGAACCAACAGATGGTGGCCCTCCTGTGGCCCCGGACGTATCTGTCGCACGCTGCACTCCGCCACCGTCCCAATCGTCGCAATACAGGGTCGGTCACACCCGCCGCCTCCGCAGCCGCAGCCCCACCAATTCGTATGGAGTGAGAAAAAAAAAACGGGCGCAAGTGCGCGACGGAGGAGATCATTCAACCGTCGCCGCGTGAGCACTGCTCCCTACTCCAGGACAAGAGCGGCGCTCCATCCGCCGCGCGCCCTGCCTGTCGGTACAGGCACATGGCCCACAGGACAGTGGGCGTCGTAGCTCTGAAGCGCGGCTGCAGTGTAAGGGAGGCATGCCCATTGGCAGCAGCCGACCCCACTGAATATGAAGGTGTCTCACTGCTGCCAAATAGTGCCTCACGCTAGCGACGGCTAGTCCCGCCTGTTGCAGGTGACCCATGTGTGTGTGTGTCATCCGACGCCGGTACGCTTGTCAGTCCGTACCGCCTGCGGAACTCAATGTACCGGTGTTGGCTCGTCTCATAGGCTCGACGGGAGCCCGGCGCCAGGCTGTTCCTGAGCAACGCGTACGTCACCGTCACTAATGGATCGTCATGTCGCACGGATGCGTGCCGCCGCTGGGAAACTCGAGGGCTGTTCACGGGCCCGTGTGCGGCCGGACCGTAGGTACACAGCCTCCAAGCTCCGCCCACTGCGTGCCTACGTCAGCCTTCCGTCACTGTACCCAGCGACCACGGTGGCCGGTCGGGGCCGGCCACGGCGGACCGTTCATCGTACGCAGCCGGGACGTCAGAACCGCCTACCCATCCCCTACCCCCACGCACGCCGCACACACCGCACTCAGCAGTTAACGGTGCCCGTGAAACCCCACCGGGCCACCCACTCGCCATCACGGCCGTTCACGTAGCCACCCTCTCGTCCGTCCCGCCCGCCTCGGCCGGCCCGACGCTCCCCCACCAGACGGCCGACCAATTATGACCCCGCGGCTGGCGCCGGCTACGGTCCAACCGCCGTGTGACACCTTCCGAACAGGATACGCTCCCAGGAGAGTAGTGATACTCCCACCAGACAGAAGAGTGATACTCCCCCGATACACGTGATACTCCCAACGGACCAGTGATACTCTATCCGTGTCCCACCGTCTGGGGCGGACCTGCCATAAAGTCGTCCAGAGTCGTAAACCATCTGTACCCGGTTCGACCGCAGCCGGCCCGGCACGGGCGCCGCCGCGCCGCCGCCACCGAACCACGCTCGCGGGCGGCCCGGCACCCGTCGACCACCACCCGTGCTGTCGGCCGCCATCGCCCGTGTCGGCGCTGTCGATCTGACGGCCGTGCACCCGTGCTGTCGGCC